AGGACCGTTTCTTTATAAAAAGGTCCTGAGAAAACTGGACCTCTACATGTAGAAGTATGAAAGAAGACCCATACTTTCCACCTTATACAAAAAGCAACTAAAACACGTCAAGGAACAAAATCTAAACCTCAATATCATCATATTATTAGAGAACATTGGGGAATACTGGAAAACATTGGCTTAAAGAAAGATTTCTGGGAAAAAATGCCAGTAGCACAATAAAAGCTGAAACAAACAAATGAGATTCCATCAAGCTGAGAAGCTTCTGCACTACAAAAGGAACACTCAGAAAAGTAAAGAGGCAACCAAAAGGATGGGAGAAACTATTTGCTAACTATGAAACTGATAAAAGATTAATATCCAGGCCAGCGCTGCCGCTCAATAGGCTAATCCTCCACCTGCAGCGCTAGCACTCTGGGTTCTAGTCCCGGTCAGGGCGCCAGATTCTGTCCCTCTTGCTCCTCTTCCAGTTCAGCCCTCTGCTGTGGCCAGGAGTGCAATGGAGGATGGCCCAAGTCCTTGAGCCCTGCACCCAAATGGGAGACCAGGAGAAGCACCTGGCTCCTGGCTTTGGAGCAGCGTGGTGTGCTAGCCGCAGCAGCCAATTGGGGATGAACCAATGGAAAAAGGAAGACCTTTCTCTCTCTTTCCCTCTCTCTCACTGTCTAACTCTGCCTGTCAAAAAATAAAGATTAATATCCAGAATCTAAAAGAGCAAAGTCAAGAGGCTTTGAATAAGAGAAAATAATCTGCCAACTATAAAACTTATAAAAGATTAATAGCCACAATCTACAAAGAGTTCAAGGAACTCAACAACAACAAAACAAAATTCCATTTAAAAATAGGCAAAGGACTTGAACAGGCATGTTTCAAGAGAGGAACTTCATATGGCCAACAGACACATGAAAAACGGCTCAGGATCGCTAGCCATCAGGTTTCACCACACCACAGTCAGAATGGCTCTCATACTAAAATCAACAAATGATAAATGCTGCTGAGGATCTGGCACTATGCTACCCTAATACACTGTTGGTAGAAATGTAACCTGGGGAAGCCACTGCCTAAGACAGTATGGAGATACCTCAGAAAGCTGAAAATAAATCTTCCATATGACTCAGCAATCCTTCTCCTGGTGATTTACCCCTAGGAAATGAAATCAGCAGACTTTAAAGGGTTATCTGTACCTCCAGGTTTACTGCAGCTCAGTTCACAATAGCTGAGATACAGAATCAAACCTGATGTCCATGAACTGATGACAGGAAGTGGAGAGTCTCCAGAAGAACAAGATTGCCTGGCAGCTGAGGTTAAGTGTCCACTCTGCATTAGTTTCACATCCGAGTCCTTCTTGGGGGGGAGGTGAGGCAGACAGCCGCATCATGGCTTCTTCACACCTGAGCCCCTGCCCAACCCCCGCTGCCTCTGAACCAGTGGATTTGCAGGGAAAACACTGCTGGGAAGCACCGGGATCCCCCATCCTTTGAGGCAGGCCCTGGGCATCTCTCTGTCCAAAAACTTAAACACAACAAGTCCATCCTGCACTCTACAAGCCTACTGAACCGCTACTGCCAATGCCAGCCAACGACGACACTGCCTCGGATATAGCCTACTTCTCCCCTAGGCCTACTGCGCAAGTACCACCCAACTAACACCCATCCCTTCCTCCCAGAAACACAGCGTCAGTAGAACAGGCCGCACTGCCTTGAAGAAACAGGGGCCACAGCCTGAGCCCCAGCCTGACATGCCTTTCCTGTGCTCACCATGATCAGGAGCACTCCAAGGGCATCGTTGCTCCCAATCCAGCCCACCAGAAGCTCAGGGCAGTGTGGAGCTCTCTACACCTCCCGGGCTAACACCCAGCCTCTCCCACATGGCGCACAGCTCTGCCAAACTGCCCATGGTCAGGGCTACTGAACGGCAGATACCTGCCCAGCATCCTTGGCCTGGTCGGTGCCAGGGTTGCTGCCCGGAGTCAGACAAACAAGTGCACAATGTGTTATGCCCCTGACAGGGAGGTAGGGTAGGGACTATCACTGTGTACCTAAATTGCATTTATGAAATGCATGGAATTTGGATCTCTTAACTAAAAAACAGTATCTTACAAGAACACCTGAACTGTCTTCTCTTGGTCGTTTCCTAGCCCCTCCCCTATGTCAAAATTGTAGGTGACACAGTTGCTCATCACTTTGTCCCTGAGAACAGGCTGCCTTGTTTGAAATACTAACTCAGAACATTTCATCCCACAACTTGCAGAATACATATTCTTCTCATCAGTCCCTGGAACTTTGTCTAGGACACAACATATGATAGGATATAAAGCAAGCCTAGAAAACTCAATAACTGAAATCAGTTCATGCATCTTCTATGATCAAAATGAAAGGAAACAGGAAATCAACAACTTAGGAAACTCCAGAACATATGCAAACATGTGGAGTCCGAGCAACATGCTCCTGAATGAATGGTTGGTCTTAGGAGAAATCAAAATGAAAATCCAGAAATTTCTGGAAATGATTAAAGATAACAGTACAACATAGCAAAACGTATGGGACACAGCAAATGCAATGTTAACAGGAAACTTTATAACAACTTGTGCCTACAACAAGATATTGGAAAGGAATCAAATAAATGAGCTTTTCAATGCATCACAAAATCTAGAAAAACAACGTATCAAACTCCAATTAGTAGGATGACAGAAATCATGGAAATTTGAGAAGAAATGAACAAAGCTGAAGAAAAACATTATAAAAGATCATTGAGGCCAGCGCCGTGTCTCAATAGGCTAATCCTCCACTTGCGGCGCTGCCACACCGGATTCTAGTTCTGGTCGGGGTGCCAGATTCTGTCCCGGTTGCACCTCTTCCTGTCCAGCTCTTTCCTGTGGCCCGGGAGTGCAGTGTAGGATGGCCCAAGTGCTTGGGCCCTACATCCGCGTGGGTGATCTGGAGGAAGCACCTGGCTCCTGGCTTCAGATCGGCGCAGTGCACCAGCCTGAGCGGCCATTTAGAGAATGAAGCAATGAAAAGGAAGACCTTTCTGTCTCTCTCTCTGTCTAAATCTGCCTGTCCAAAAAAAATAAAAAGATCACTGATATGAAAATCTGGTTAAAAAATATTTTTTAGAAAATTGCTGAAAATCTCCAAAACAACAACAACAACAAAACAGGAATAAGACCCCAATCAGTAAAATCAGAAATGAAAAACAAACTGTAATAATAGAAACCCAATAATAAAAACAACTATCTGGAATTCCTACAATGTACTGTTTGCCAATGAATTGGAAATTCTTGGAAAATCTCCCTCACTCCATAAATCTGCCTTTCAATTAAATAAATATTTAAAAAACATAATTATTTCAATAGATGAAAACAGCTGGAAAATATGCAAAAACCTTTCAGAAAGAAAACCTCAGGGAATCTGACAACAGAAAGAACATTCCTCTACACAATCAAGGCAATTTATGTCAAACCGACTGATAGCATCTTATGAATGGGGACAAGTTGGAAGCATTCCCAACTACGATCTGGAATCAGACAAGGATGCACTCTCATTATTGCTATTCAATATAGATCTGGAAGTTTTAGAGCCATTAGGCAAGAAAAAGAAATCAAATGGATACAAATTGGGAAGGAGGAAGTCAAACTATCCCTCCTTCAAAAGGACATGATTTTATAAATGGGGGAACCAAGAAACTCCACCACGAGACCATTAAAACTCATAACAGAGTTTGGAAAAGTGGCAGGATAGAAAATCAACACACAAAAATCAATAGAATTTGTATACACACAATATCAGGGCTGAGAAACCACTTCGAAGATCCATTCCATTCACAATAGCTACTAAAATTTAAATAACTTTGAATAAAGGTATCCAAGGAGCTTGAAGATTTAAAAAGCAACTCCAATACTTTTCCAACTATTTCAAAATCATAAACTGGAAGGAGTAGGATTCAACTCTAACAAACACTTTTTGAGAGGCCGGCATTACTTTAACCACAAAAGATAACAAAACATGAAATACAAAGAAAACTGAAGGCCTATATGCATAATGAAAAAGATGCAAAGATTCTCAACAAAATTCTAGCCTAACAAAACCAAAACCACATGCTGAAGCTCACATAAAACCTTCAATTGGAATTTATATCAGAAATGCCATGATATTCCACATTTGCAAATTAATACACATGATGAATTTTATCAAAAAAATGGAAGAATAAAACCACATTGTCTGGGCTGGCGCTGTGTTACAGAGGGTTAAAACCAAAACACATAATGCCGGCATCTCATATGGGTGCCATTTAGCATCCAGGCTGCTCCACTTTCAATCCTGCTCCCTCCTAACATGCCTGGGAAAATGTCGGAGGATGTCCCAATTAGTTGGGGCCATGCAGCCACATGGGAGACTTGGAAGAAGGTTCTGGATCCTGATGGCTCAGTTTGGCCATCAAGGTCTTTTGGGGAATGAACTAGCAAACAGAAGACCTCTCTCCCTCCCTCCTTCTCTTTTGCTCTTGCTCTACCTGTATCTCTCTGTATAAATCTTGCAAACAAATGAAATAAATCTTTTGAAAACCACATCATCTAATTAGATACAGATATCAGTAGAATAAAAAATGATTAAAAACTACACAAAATATACACAGAAGGAATACATATCAATATCATAAAGGCTATGTATGACAAACCAACAGCCAATGTCATGCTGGATGGGGAGAATGTGAAATCATTTTGTCAAACATATAACAACACAAAGATGTCCCTTTTACCACTCTTACTGAATGCAGTCTCCATATGGGAGACCTGGAAGAAACTCCTGACTCCTAGCTTTGGATCAGCCCAGCAATGGGCCCTGTGGCCATTTCGGGAGCAAAGCAGCAGATGGAAGACCTCTATCTCTGTGTTTCCCTATCTCTGGATCTCTGCCACTTAAGAATATATATTTTTTTGAAAAAAGATCACTACGCAGCTCACGTGGAACTTGCCCACCCTACCTTTAACCTGATGAAGAATTAAGAGTGGGAACAAGAGAAGGAGGAAGAAGAAGGCTGGGAGTGCAGGCTTGAGAGATGCTAGCATGGGAAGTAGTATCAGTATGTTTGAATCTGTATATAAGAAATACATGAAATTTACATACCTGATATAAAATTTTAAAAAGTACATAATCTTCTAACCAGACTAACAAAAATGATAAAAACTCCAGTAAATAAAATTACAGAAAAAAAGCAGAGATTATAATCTACATCACTGAAACACAAGGTTTCAGAGAAATTGCTATTCAGTACTATATGCTAATAAACTGGAAAACTAGAAGAAACAGAGGAATCCCTGGATAACAAATACACGTGACCTACTAAGATTAAATCCAGAAGATATAGACAACCTAAAAAGACTCATAAAAATCAATGAAAACTAAAACACCCACCAAAAACACTGCTAGAACTGACTAAATAAATAAGTTAGAGGTTACAAATAAACATACCTTGTAACCCGCAGTCCTGTCCTCCAGCGCAAGCCCAGCCACCCGCTTCTCCGCTTCCCACAGCTGAGCCGCCGCCTGCCCCCACGGCCGTCAGCCTGCGGACATGAGTGTCTACACTGCTCCGAGGAGCCACGACCCCGCCGACCCGCGACGAGGTCCCAGGCCTCTCATTGTTTCATAAGAAAAACTCACCTTCACTCCCGCACTCTCTGGGCCAGTACAGCTGCCGAAAACGCTGCCATCAGCCGAGAATTCCGGCAGCCGACGACATGCCGCCACCAGCAGATAATACCGTCTTGCTCTCCACCAGGCCGACTGCGCAAGCGCCAGCCATCTAGGACCCGCCTCTTCCTCCCAGTAAGCACAGCAGCACCGGAAGCTGCCAGGCAGCGTCAAAAACGTGGGTGACAGCAGTCTTGGCTCCGGGCTAAGACTGTGTTGATCTCCGATGTGCTCCAGGTAAGAAACGTTTTCTGGTAAAAAAAAAAAAAAGAAAAACCTGTCATTTGCAAAAAGAAAAAAAATGGATGCAACTGTAAAACCTTACACTTTAAAATAACCCTTTCCAAAAAAAGACAAACACTGTATATTCTCCCTGATCTGTGGTAACAGAGTACCTAAAAGGTGAGCTATATTAGTGATATTGATACTTTGACGTACAATGATTTAGACAACTCTTGTCTTGCAGATAGAATGATTTTAAACAAACCATGTCTTGCCTCTTCAGGAACAGATTTTTTTTTAATTCTTTCAAACTGTTGAATTCTTTACATAGTGCAGGCTTTATATTATGAGTATAAAATAATTGAAAATAGATTTTTGTATAAAATAAGAATGGGAATCGTGGATAGAGGATGAAGAGGGATGGGAAATAGGACCGGTGCTGTGGCCAAGCAGGTTAACACCCTGGCCTGGAGCACCAGCATTAAATATGGGCGCCAGTTTGAGACTGGCTTCTGCACTTGCGATCCAGCTCTCTGCTATGGCCTGGGAAAGCAGTGGAGGATGGCCCAGGTCCTTGGGCCCCTGACCCATTGGGAGACGCAGAAGAAGCTCCTGGCTCCTGGCTTCAGATCAGCACAGCTCTGACCATTGTGGCCAATTGAGGAGTGAACCATCGGATGGAAGACCTCTCTATGCCTTTCCTCTCTCTGTGTAACTCTGACTTTCAAATAAATAAATAAATCTTTAAAAAAATGAAGAGGGATGGGAGCATGTTCGGGTTGGTGGGTAGGAGTGAGCGAGGGTAGAGTGGGAATAATTAATGTTTCTAAATTTGTATATATGAAATACATCAAGTTTGAATACTTTAAATCAAGTTTCCAGGTAAAAAAGGGAGGTAAAATTTTGAATGATTCATTATGAGAGAGAGAGCTAGAGATAGCTCTCATCTACTGAGTCACTCCCCAAATGCCCTCAAGATGGGACTAAAGCTGAGAAGTAGGATCTTCATCCACATCTCCCACATGGTTGACAGGAACTAAGGCCTTGAGCCACCCTCCAGGATACACAATAAGGTAGGCCATAAGTCTCAGCTAATTCAACAAATATCAAAATCATACCATGCATCTTCCACAACTACATGGAATGAAGGGGCGAATGACCACACCAAGAACCTCAAGAACATATACAACCACATGGAGACTGAACATGCTCCTGAATGAACTGTGAGTCAGAAAAAATTAAAAAAAGATGAAAACGAATACAGATGACAGTATAACATATCAAAACTTATCAGATACTGGAAAGTTTAGAGAAATTGGTGCCTATACCAAGAAATTGGAAAAGAATCAAATAAGTGAGCCACCAATGTAGCACCCTTGAAAAAAATGAAATCAAATGCAAAATTATCAAGAGGAAAGAGATATATAAATTAGAGGAGAAATAAACAAAATTGAAAGCAAAAAAGAATATAAATATCAGTGAAATGAAGAACTTGCTTAAAAAATTTATACACTCTTGGTCCAACTATCCTTAAAAAAAAAAGACCCCAATCAGTAAAATCAGAGATGAAAAATGAAAGGTAACAACAGATACCACAGATGATTAAAAGACTTACCCATCAGGAGCTAATACAAAGGACTGTATGCCAACCAATTAAAAAGTCTGTCTCTCCTACTCCGTCTATAATTCTGCCTCACAAATAAATAAATAAAACTTTCAAATAAACCATAGGCTTATTTCAATAGATGCAGAGAAAGCATTTGACAAAATACAACATCCTTTCATAGTGAAAACCTTAAGGAAACTGAGTGTAGTAAGAACATTGCTCAACATAATCAAGGCAATTTATGACAAACCTATAGACAGCATCTTATGAATGGGGAAATGTTGGAAGCATTCCCTGAAGAGCTGGAATCAGACAAGGATGACAACTTGTGCCCTTGCTATTCAATATAGACCTGGAAGTTTTAGCCAGACCTATTAGGCAAGAAAAAGAAATCCAAGGATACAAACTGGGAAGGAGGGAGTCAAATTACCCCTACTTGCGGGTGACAGGATTCTATATATAGGGGAAATAAGTCTCCACTAAGAGATTACTGGAATTCATAAAAAGAGTCTGGGGGAGTGCCAGGATACAAAATTAACACAAAAATCAATAGTCTATGTATAAAATGCCATGGCTGGGAAAGAACTTCTAAGATCAATCCCATTCACAATTGCTACAAAAAATTAAACACCATGGGATAAAATTAATCAAGGATGCCAAAGTATCTAATATGAAAATTAGCAAACATTAGTGAAAGAAACAGAAGACACAGAAAATGGAAAAATCTTTAATATTCAAGGACTAAAATAATCAATATAATCAAAATGTCCATAGTACCAAAAGCAATTTACAAATTCATGTGATCCCAATTAAAATGCCAATTACATTCTTTTCAGATCTAGGGGAAAAAGATGCTAAAATTCAAATGGAAACACAAGAGACCCAGAATAGCTAATGGAATCTTATATGTGAACAACAAAGCCAGAAGCATCACAATACCAGAATTCAAGACATACTTCAGGACAGTTACAAACAAAACAGCCTGATACTGGCAAAGAATAGACATGTGGACCAATGGAGCACAATAGAAACTCCAAAAACTCAATCCACACATCTACAAATAATTTATCTTTGACAAAGGATCTAAAATCCAACCATGTGACAAGGTCAGTCTCTTCAAAAAATGGTGCATAAAAGGTGGATCTCCCATGCAGAAGTATGAAAATAAAAACCTACCTCATTCTTACAAAAAAACAAACTCAAAAAAGGATCAAAGACCTAAATGTACAACCTAATACCATCAAATTCTTAGAGAACATTGTGGAAATGATGCAAGACATTGCCAGATGCAGACTTCTTGGAACACAGACGTACAGGCAATAAAAGCAAAAACACACAAATGGGATTACATCAAGCTGAGCAGCTTTTGCACTGTAAATGAAAACTCAGCAAAGTGAAGGGCAACTGACAGAATGAGAGAAAATATATGCAAACTATGACCTGATAAATTGTTAATATCCAGAATGTATAAAGTGCTCAAGAAACTCAACAACAACAAAACAAACAATGCAGTTAAGAATGGGCAACAGGCCGGCACCGCGGCTCACTAGGCTAATCCTCCGCCTAGCGGCGCCGGCACACCGGGTTCTAGTCCCGGTCGGGGCGCCGGATTCTGTCCCGGTTGCCCCTCTTCCAGGCCAGCTCTCTGCTGTGGCCAGGGAGTGCAGTGGAGGATGGCCCAGGTGCTTGGGCCCTGCACCCCATGGGAGACCAGGAAAAGCACCTGGCTCCTGGCTCCTGCCATCGGATCAGCGCGGTGCGCCGGCCACAGCACGCCGACCGCGGCGGCCATTGGAGGGTGAACCAACGGCAAAGGAAGACCTTTCTCTCTGTCTCTCTCTCTCACTGTCCACTCTGCCTGTCAAAAAAAAAAAAAAAGAATGGGCAACAGACTTGAACAGACATTCCTCAAGGAAGGAAATGCAAATGACCAACAGACACATGAAAAAATGCTCAGGATCACTAGCCATTAGCGAAATGCAAAATGAAACCACAATGAAGTTTCACCTCACCACAGTTAGAATGGTTTGCATACAGAAATCAACAAACAACAAATGCTGGAAAGGATGTGGCAAAACAGTACACAAGTGGCCAGTGCCGTGGTGCACGAGGTGAATCCTCCTCCTGTGGTGCTGGCATCCCATATGGGCACCGGGTTCTAAACCCAGCTTCCCCTCTTCCAGTCCAGCTCTCTGCTGTGGCCTGGAAAAGCAATGAAGGATGGCCCAAGTGCTTGGGCCTCTGCACCCGTTTGGGAGACCAGGAAGAGGCACCTGGCTCCTGGATTTGGATCGGTGCAGCTCTGGCAATTGTGGCCATTTGGGGGGTGAACCATTGGATGGAACACTTTTCTCTCTGACTCTCACTCTCACTGTCTGTAACTCTTCCTGTCAATTATTAATATAATTATAATAATATATTAATATTATTAATATAAATAACATAATAATAATAATGCAGTACCCTAATCCACTGGGAATGTAATCTGGTGAAGCCATTGTGGAAGACAGTATGGAGACACCTCAAAAGGCTGAAAATAGATGAATCATATGAACCAGCAATGCCACTCATGGGAATTTACCTAAACAAATTGAAATCAGCAGATGAAAGAGTTATCTGTACCCACGTTTATGGCTGCTCAATTCACAACAGCTAAGATATGGAATCAATCCAGATGTCTATCAAATGATGATTAGATAAAGAAATTATGGAGGCCAGCACAAAGTGGGTTAAGCCTCCTACTTGCTGCACCAGCATCCCATAGGTGTTCCTGTTCGAAGCCTGGATCCTCCCTGATGAAGGCCTAGGAAAACAGTGGAAGATGGCCCAAGTCCTTGGGCCCTTGCACCTGCGTGGGAGACCCAAAAGAAGCTCCTGGCTCCTGGCTTTGCATCAGCCCAGTTCTAGCCATTGCATCCATTTAGAGAGTGAACCAGAAGGAAGACCTCTCATTCTCAGATGGAAGATCTCTCGTTCTCTGTCTCTCCCTCTCTCAACTCTGCCTCTCAGAAAAATGAATCTTGAAAAAAGTAACTATGGTATATATACACTATGGAATACTATTCAGCAGGAAAAAATGCAATGAAGTCTTTTGCAACAAAATGGATATAACTAGAAAACATTATACTTAGTGAAATAAGCTAGTCCCCAAAAGACAAATACCACATGTTGTCCCTGATCTGCGGTGACTAATAGAGTATTTAACAGGTAATAATGTGTAGGAATAAAATGAGTATTTTGAGATATGATGCTTTTTTTTACAAGCCTTGTCTCACTTTGAGAAACAATTTATTTTCTTCATACTATTTGTTGAACTTTTTACTTAGTGAATAGTGACTATTTTGAGTATAAAGTTACCTGAAAATATTTTTCTATTAAAATTAACAGTGGATCAGCTTAGTATACCTTAAGTAAGGATTTCAACAGTTTGCTCCCACACAGAAACATAAAGTGAAAAATAATAGATGATTTTTTTAAAATGATGATGAAATCAGATCAGACCTATTGTCATGTTTAATCCCAGTGAGAGTCAAGTTGGGAATTGATAATTTCTTTTTCTTTTTTTTTTTTACAGAAGATCAGTTTAGTGTACATTAAGTAAAGATTTCAATCGTTTGCACCCCCATAGAAACACAAAGTGAAATATACTGTTTGAGTACTCGTTATAGCATTAAGCCTCAGTGTACAGCACATTAAGGACAGAGATCCTACATGAGGAGTAAGTGCACAGTGACTCCTGTTGTTGACTTTACAAATTGACACTCCTGTTTATGGCATCAGTAATCTCCCTATTCTCCAGTCATGAGTTTCCAAGGCTATGGAAGCCCCTTGAGTTCTCCGACTCTTATCTTGTTTAGACACGGTCATAGTCAAAGTGGAGGTTCTCTCCTCCCTTCAGAGAAAGGCACCTCCCTCTTTGAAGACCTGTTCTTTCCACTGGGATCTCACTCACAGAGATCTTTTTGCCAGAGTGTCTTGGCTTTCCATGCCTGAAATACTCTCATGGGCTTTTCAGCCAGATCCGAGTGCCTTTAGGGCTGATCTTCTGTATATTAAGATAATCGAAAATGAATCTTGATGTGAATGGAAGGGGAGAGGGAGTGGGAAAGGGGAGGGTTGTGGGTGGGAGGGACGGTACGGGGGGGAAGCCATTGTAACCCATGAGTCGTACTTTGGAAATTTATATTCATTAAATAAAAGATAAAAAAAATTAACAGTGGAAACAGGAGAGGGAAGAGGAAGAAGTATGGAAGCATGGGTTAGAGGAAGCGTTGGATGTGAAGAATCAATACGTTCCTGAATATGTATATGGCAAGTACATGAAATTTGTTTACCTCACATAAAATTTTTAAAAACTAAATAAGCCTCTAACAAGACTGACAAAGAAAAAAAGAGAAAAAAACCTCAAAACCTCAAATAAGTAAGATTAGATGAAAAATCAGACAGTATAATCAACACTACTGAAATACAAGGCTTCAAAAGAAACTGCCATTCAATACTATATGCTAATAAACTGGAAAAAGCAGAAAAATGGAGAAGTTTTTTCAATACAAATAACTTACCAAATTTAATCCAGAAGATACGGATAATCTAGCAGACTCATAAAAAGTAATGGCATTGTAGCAGTAAGCAAAATTCTTCCATCAATAAAAAGCCCATGACTTGATGGCTTTACTATCCAATTCTACAAAACATTTAAAGACAAACTCCAACAATCTTCAGACTATTTGAAAACACTGAACAGGATGGAACACTGTCAAACACTTTTTAGGAGGCCAACATCCATTTGATGCCAAAAACGAACAAAGACACAAAATGGAAAGAATACTACAGGCCTATATCCTTGAAGAACATAGATAAAAAGATTCTCAACAGAGTACAAAATAAACAATTGAAAACATCAAAAAGCTGATACATAACTATCAATTGGAATTGATCCTAGAAATGCAAGGGTGGTTCCATATTTGCAAAACAATAAATATCATAAATTAATCAACATAATGAAAGAATAGAAACCATACTCTCATTAGATCCAGAGAAAGCATTTGATATGATGCATTGTGTTTCATGGCACAAAAAAAACCTCCACAAATTAGGCATAGAAGGAACATGCCTCAAAAACATAAATGTGATATTTGACAAAGAATCAGCCAATATTATACTGAATGAGGAGAAGATGAACGCATTTTGTCAAAATCTGTAACAACACAAGGACAGTCCACTCTCACCACTCTAACTGAATACAGTACTATACATTTTCACAAGAGCAATTACAGAGGAGAACAAAATAACAGGCACTAAAACTGGAAAAGAACAAGTCAAATAATTAATGTTTGCAGATGACATGATGTTGCTCCTGGAAGAACACAAACATTCCAGCAAAATGCTGCTTCAACTGATAATCCAATTCAGAAAACTTTAGAAGTACAAGTAAACATTTGAAAAAGCTGCTTTTTACATATTAATGATGGCCTCACTGACAAAGAAAGCAACAAAAATCCAATTTACAATAACCACAAAAATTAGACTATTGAGGAATAAATGTAATCAAATAAGTGAAAGATCTCTATAATGAAAATCATCAAACGCTGACCAAAGAAACCATCAAGGACACAAAACTGGAAAGGTATTCCTTTTTCTGTGGATTGGAAGAATTTGTATCATTAAAATGTCTATCTCATGGAAAGAAATCTACAGAATACCAATGACATTCTCTACAGAATTTAAAAAAACAACCCTCAAATTCATACAGAACCACAGAAGATCCAGAACCGCTAAGGTGAACCTGAGGAAATAAAAATCAAGCTGGAGACATCACAATACCTGACTTCAAAGCATACTAAAAAACTGTATTAACATCACATCACACTGATACTTAAAAAAAAAAAAAACTGAGACATAGACCGATGGAGTGAAACAGAGAATCCCAAAGTTAATGTAAATACATATAGGCCGGCGCCGCGGCTCACTAGGCTAATCCTCCTCCTAGCGGCGCCGGCATACCGGGTTCTAGTCCCGGTCGGGGCGCCGGATTCTGTCCCGGTTGCCCCTCTTCCAGGCCAGCCCTCTGCTGTGGCCAGGGAGTGCAGTGGAGGATGGCCCAGGTGCTTGGGCCCTGCACCCCATGGGAGACCAGGAAAAGCACCTGGCTCCTGGCTCCTGCCATTGGATCAGTGCGGTGCGCCGGCCGCAGCGCGCCAGCCGCGGCGGCCATTGGAGGGTGAACCAACGGCAAAGGAAGACCTTTCTCTCTGTCTCTCTCTCTCACTGTCCACTCTGCCTGTCAAAAAAAAATTGTAAATACATATAGCCACCTGATTTTTGACAAAAGGGGTCAGACCTTTCATTGGTGTAAGGATAATCTCTTCAACAAATAGTGCTGGCAAAGCTCGATGTATTCATGTAGAAGAATGGAATTAGATCCATATCTCTCATCATTTATAAAAATCAACTGAGATGGGGCAGCCGTGCACTTCTCAGAAGACTATTCTTACAAGTATGGTCAAAAACAGTGAAGCCAGGTGCCAGTGCTGTGGTGTAGTGGGTAGGGCCACCAGCAGCGCAGGCATCCATTGATCGGACCATTGCCTGCCCTGGCTGCTCCACTTCTGATCCAGCTCCCTTTTAGAGGCCTGAGGAATGGCTGTTTGAGGGTGGGTCGATTGTTTCGGCCTCTGTCACCCTTATGGGGAGACAAGGTGGGGTGAACCAACAGTAAAAGGATGACCTTTCTCTCTGCCTCTATCTCTCACTGTCCACTCTGCCTGTCAAAAAAAATAATTATTAAAAAAAAGGACAATTATACTGCTCTTGTGGAATTGTGGTCTTCCTACTTTTCCTTGTTGAATACTATGGTTAGTGGTGAATTAAGATTATGAATAATAAAGTGAATTAAAATTATATCTTGCAAAAAATAATGAAAAGAAGAGAGACAAGGGAGGGAGAGGAAGAGCAAAAGAGGAATGTGGTTGTCTTCCTGGAACAGCACCTATGAAATTCATGAAAAATTATTTCAAACATAATTTAAAAATAATGAAGAACATTACACTAGCATAGTTTTAATGATCTGTGATTACATTAAAATTTATGCTATTGGGTAAAATGGTCATTTTCCGTTCAGCTGTTTATGCCTGTTTGCTTATTTCCCACTAAATTAGGGTTTCTCTTTTTTTTCTTTTTTACTTCTTTTTTTTTTTGACAGGCAGAATGGACAGTGAGAGAGAGAGAGACAGAAAGGTCTTCCTTTTTTGCCGTTGGTTCACCCTCCAATGGCCGCTGCAGCCGGAGTGCTGTACCCAGGGCACCGCGCTGACCCGATGGCAGGAGCCAGGTACTTATCCTGGTCTCCCATGGGGTGCAGGGCCCAAGGACTTAGGCCATCCTCCACTGCATTCCCGGGCCACAGCAGAGAGCTGGCCTGGAAGAGGGGCAACTGGGACAGAATCTGGCGCCCTGACCAGGACTAGAACCCGGTGTGCCGGCGCCGCAAGGCGGAGGATTAGCCTATTGAGCTGTGGCGCCAGCCTTTTACTTTTTTTTTTTAAAGATTTACTTTATTTTCTTGGAAGGCACAGTTACTTACAGAGAGAAGGAGAGAGAGAGGAAAAGAGATTTTCCATCTACTCAGTTCACTCCACAAATGGCCAGAACAGCCAGGGTTCATCCACAATGAAACCAGGAGCCAAGAGCTTATTCTAGGTCACCCACAAGGGTGCAGAGGCCCAAGCACTTGGGCTATCCTCTGCTACTATCCTAGAGGCATTAGCAGGGAGCTGTATCAGAGGTAGAACAGACAGGATTTGGACCAGAGCTCGTACAGTGCCATTCCCATGTTCTTAAACTTCTTACTTGATGAAGCATTTACCAAAGTCATGTCATCAATGTTTTTCATAAGGCTTATGTATTCATTTGCCAGGCAGAGTGACAGAGACACAAAGAGAGATCTTCTACCTGCTGACTTACTCCTCAAATGCCCCCAACAGCCAGGATTGGGCCAGGCAGAAGCCAGGAGCCAGGAACTACATCTCAGTCTCCAATGTAGGTGGCAGGAACTACGCACTTGGGCCATTGTTTGTTGCCTCCCAGGGGAATTACCAGGAAACTGAACTGGACATGGGGGAGCTAGGACTCACAACAGGCAGCTTATGCAGGATGCTGACAACCCAAATGTCACATTAACCTGCTGTGCATCATGCCCACCCATTTCTAAACTTTTCTGATTAGTTACTGCATCTTAGTCTATTTGGGTTACTGTAAGTAAACACATTACACTGGGAAATTTATAAACAGCAGGAATATATTACTCTCTTTTGGAGGGTGTAAGTCCAAGATCACAGTGTTAGGGGCTCAGTGTCTAGTGAAGCTTTGCTGGCTAATGTCTGTGTGCCTTCATGTGGCAGAATAGCAAAGGGGTAAACAAGCTGCTCCATCAAGCCATTCTTAAAAGGGTGCTGTGGCATAGTGGGTAAAGCCGCCTTCAGGCCTGGCATCCTCACATTGGCACGGGTTTGAGTACCAGAGGCTCCACTTCTGATCCAACTCTCTGCTGCAGCATGGGAAACCAGTGCCAGTGGAAGATGGCCCAAGCCCTTGGACCCCTGTTTCCATGTGGGAGACCTGGAATACACTGGTTCCTGGTTTCTGATTGGCTCAGCTCTGGCCATTGTGGCCGACTGGGGAGTGAACCAGAAGATGGAAGTCTTTTCTCTCTGGTCCTTCCTCTCTCTGTCTTTAACTCTGCTTCTCAAATAAGTAAATAAAACTTTTTTAAAAAAATAAAGGCAGTGATAGCATTCTCAGAAGATCTGCCCTCATGATCCAGTCACCTCCCAGCACCCCTGCTCTTAAATAACAACACATTGAGTATTACGTTTCAACACATGCCTATTGAGGGGACACATCAGTTAGCAACAGCTACCCCAAATCATTTATTATGAACCCCCAATGCATATTTAATTATAAAAACTCATTATAAAGCTTGTAAAATATGTATTAAAATACTACAGATGATATGATTCTGTAAAGGTAACTTCTATTACTAATATATTTTTACCTGGCAACC